TTCAGTGTTTTTTACTAGGTTTGCTTCAATTAATAGAACAGCCTAACCCATAATTGAACATTCTTGGTAATGATTTATTAGTTGATAAATTGGGAAAAATGTTGATTTTTTTGTGTGTGTGATGTTGGAATCAAAATGGAGAGGATTAAGGACATGATTAATGAACAAATGGAAGGTTGCTTTAATGGCCAGAATTTATGTAGTGTTTGTTTTAGACTGTTTTTATTTACAAGAAAATTATTGAAATAATGAAAATGCCTCCAGTTATTACTGTCTTATTTCTGTTGTTGGGAAGGGGGGGGAGGGGTGAAGTGGACCAAGGATCAAATCAAATCAAATCAAATCAAATCAAGTTTATTCTCTATAAGGATTACAATGCTGAGTTTACAGAATTTGGATATTGTGTGGTTTACATGTTTTAAAATACTAATTACAGAGGGGGCCACTATAACACCTAGCATGGCTAGGCATTTCGGGCAGACTTAGATTAATTCTTAACTTTAAAATATTACAAATTATGAGGTAAGTTGGTATTATGGCTAAGTGACTAAATACTAGTTTGTGAGTTTAGCAATGTGAATGCTTTTGTTTTTGCACAATACATAGTTTCAGTATTGGAGTATCACAGGCCAACTTATGACTAGTTAGGATTCATTATTTTAAGATTAAGATAGATATTTTTGTGTTTATGGTCAAATGGGTGAGTGAGTGTAAGTGTGAACCACCAGGTGATATTCATGTAATTAGTTGATGGGGTGTATCAGGGAGATAAGATGTTTTCTAATGATAGTTTTGAAGGTGAAGAATGTGTCTGCAGTTCTAGAGTTTTCAGGGAGGGTGTTCCAGATTTTATGGCCTTTGACATACATTGAATTTTTGTAAAGGTTTAGTCGGACACGGGGAATGTCATAGAGATGTTCGTGTCTGGTGTTATGCCTGTAGGTTCTGTCACAACTATCAAGAAAGTGTTTTAGGTCAAGGTTAATATTGGAATTTAAGCTCCTGTAGATGTAGATTGCACAGTAGTAAGTGTGGATGTACTGAACAGGGAGTAAGTTTAGATCTATGAAGAGTGGGAGGGTGTGTTACCAGGGATGGGATTTAGTGATTATTCTTACTGCGGCTTTTTGTTGGGTTATTATTGGCTTTAGGTGTGTTGCTGCAGTTGATCCCCAAGCACAAATAGCATAGGTGAGGTATGAATAAATAAGTGAGTGGTATAGTGTGAGAAGGGCATTTTGCAGCATGTAGTATCGTATCATGGAGATGATCCCAACCGTTTTGGGTACTTTTTTGGTTATGTGTTTTATATGGGTGCTGAAATTCAGGTTGTTGTCGAGGTATAGGCCTAGGAATTTGCCCTCATTATGTCTGGCAATTAGAGTGTTGTTGATCTTAATGTTAATTTGCACAACTCCTGCTCTGCTACCAAACATAATGTACAGTGGTCCCTCGCTTTTTGTAGTTCTCGGCAATCGTAAATTTCGCCAATCATAAGGGTATTTTTGTATAAACATGGACTCGCTTTTCATAGGTTGACTCGCAAATAGTAGTTCATCCAGGACGCTTACGCACGGTGTGAGCAGGGAAGGCCTCCCTACCCAGCCAGTCTAGCATTGTTTACCAATGAGTGAAGGTCCCCTCAAGTGCTCCTACGAAATATTTCATAATATTCCACTCATTTTAGTGCTTGCAAGTACTAAATAAGCTACCATGGCTCCAAAGAAAGCTCCTAGTGCCAAGCCTGTGGTAAAGAAGGTGAGAAATATGTACAGTGACAAAGTCTTGTACCATTTTAGGGAAGTGTTAAAGAGACGCCAGAAACAGAGCTCTCTCCACAGTTACTTTGCGAGACAGGACTAGAGTGACTCTCAAGGTGGTCCTAGTGGCATTAAGAAACAGAGAAGAGAAGCAACCCCAGAGAAGCAATTGGTACCTGAGGTGTTGCTGGAAGGGGATTCCCCTTCCAAACTGTAAACAATCCAATCTCTCTCCTCCTCCAGTCTCCCATACACTAAGAAGAATCTCCAATAAAGGTAAGTGTTATGCTGTTAATGTTTCATTCATCATTTCCCATTGTATTGTTTATGTACTACATGTATATTTCATGTAAAAAAATTTTTTGTTTTAATACTTCTGAGTGTCAGAAACGGATTAATTGTATTTACATTATTTCTTATGGGGAAAATTGATTCGCAAATCGTAAATTTCGTTTATAGTAGCTCCTCCAGGAACGGATTAATTACGAAAAACGAGGGACCACTGTAGTAGGTTTTGTCAGTGTTAAGCGTAAGTTTATTGGCTGTCATCCAAGTCGATATTTTGAGCAGCTCCTTGTTAACATTGGTGTTGAGGGTGGCAAGATTAGGGTGAGAGATGACGTAAGTCGTGTCATCAGCAAAGAGAATGGGGTTCAGGTGTTGGGATACGTTTGGAAGATCATTGATGTATATGAGGAAGAGCAGGGGACCAAGGACACTTCCCTGCGGAACTCCAGTATCAAGTAGCCGTGTTGATGATGCTGTTTTTAATGGTGACATACTGATACCTATTAGTAAGGTAGGATTTGAAATATGCAAGCACATGGTCTCTTATACCGTAATGGTCAAGTTTGTGGAGTAGGATACCGTTGTCTACTGTGTCAAAAGCTTTTCTTAGGTCAATAAAAATTCCTAGTGGATATTCCTTATTTTCCAATGCTGTGTAAAGCAGATCTAGCAGTTTTATAATTGCATCATTAGTGCTTTTATTTTTCCTGAATCCAAATTGGCAGGGGTTGAGTATGTTTTGTGCTGTTAAATATGAATATAGTCTCCTGTGCATGAGTTTCTCAAAGATTTTGGATAGCAATGGTAAGTTTGATATTGGCCTATAGTTGTTTAAATCTGTAGGGTCACCACCTTTATGTATTGGTGTAACCCTTGCTGTCTTGAGTAGTTTCGGGAAGGTGCTAGTTTCTAGTGACTTGTTAAAAAGTAATGAAATAGCATGCGAATTGACATGGGCCACTCGCTTGTACAATAATGGTGGGACATGAGACAGATTCCCTGAGTTATTTTTAAGTGACTTTATAATCTCGGTGACTTCCGCGGGCTCAGTTGGTACAAGATAGAAGGAATTTGGGAAATTCCCATCTAGGTAGTCCCCGGCACGGGCATTGATACATGGGATTTTATTGGCGAGATTAGATCCTATGGTTGAGAAGAAGTCGTTTATCTTGTTAGCTGTGTCAGTGGGATGTCCATCTTACTGCTGTGAAATTGTCTGCCAAGGAGCACCAGTATGCATTCACCTCCTGACATGGTAAGGGAAGGTAGTACTAATACTTTCCACTCACCTCTTGTCGGGGAGCACAGCAGCGGTTGGAATTATTCCTCCATGATAATCCTTTAACTGATTTATGTGATATGCATGGTCTGACTTTCTTTTTTCTTGGCGTGCGTACCAGATACTTAATACTTACCTCTTGACATGGTAAGTGAAGGTAGTATCAGTACTTAACACTCATCTCTTGACATAGTAAGTGAAGGTAGTACCAGTACTTAACACTCATCTCTTGACATAGTAAGTGAAGGTAGTACCAGTACTTCATACCCGTCTTCTCAAAAGGTAGGTGCCAGTTAGAAGATATTAGAAACTATTTATAGAATTACTAATGAAAGTTTTTTTAATATGCAATATTTGGGAGTGGATGTGTCGGCTGATGGGTCTATGAAAGATGAGGTGAACCATAGAAATGATGAAGGAAAAAAGGTGGGTGGTGCATTGAGGTATCTTTGCCTCCATGAATGTTATTCATGGAGGCAAAGAAGGGAATGTATGAGAGTATAGTGGTACCATCATTCATATATGGGTGCAAAGTATGAGTTGTGAATCCTGCCGCAAGGAGGTGGCTGGAGGCAGTGAAGATGTTGTGTCTGATGGCAGTGTGTGATATAATTATTAAGCAGAGAATTCGTACTGTGGAAGTTAGGTGTGGAGTTCTTCTTCTTTCAACGTACCAGCCGTATCCCACTGAGGTGGGGAGGCCCAAAAGAAAAAACTGAAGTTTCTCCTTTTAAATTTAGCAATATATACAGGAGAAGGGGTTACTAGCCCCTTGCTCCCGGCATTTTAGTCGCCTCTTACGACACGCATGGCTTACAGAGGAAGAATTCTGTTCCACTTCCCCATGGAGATAAGAGGAAATAAACAAGAACAAGAATTAGAAAGAAAATAGAAGAAAACCCAGAGGGGTGTGTATATATATATATATGCTTGTACACGTATGTGTAGTGTGACCTAAGTGTAAGTAGAAGTAGCAAGACTTACCTGTAATCTTGCATATTTATGAGACAGACAAAAGACACCAGCAATCCTACCATCATGTAAAACAATTACAGGCTTTCGTTTTACACTCACTTGGCAGGACGGTAGTACCTCCCTGGGCGGTTGCTGTCTACCAACCTACTACCTACAAGGTGTGGAGTTATTAAAAGTATTATTCAGAGGGCTGAAGAGTTGTTGTTCAGGTATTTTGCTCAGTTAGAGAGGATAGAACAAAATAGGATTGCTTGGAGAGTGTATAAATCTAGTGGAGGCAAGGATGGAGAGATGGAGTAAAAGAGGTTTTGTGTTCAAGAGGCTTGGACATACAGCAGACATGTGTGATGATGTTAGATAGGAGTGAGTGGAGATGAATGGTTTTTGGGACTTGATGAGCTGTTGGAGTATGAGCAGGGTAGAGGAGGGGTTTGGGATATTTGCTTTTTATAGTGACCTCTAAACTGTCATACCTGTGTGCCTCTGGCAAGACAGTGATAGTGTGAATGATGGTGAAAGTGTTTCTATTTTGAGTCATTCGGCCTTGGTGGGAGACAACCAGCTTATTAAAAAAAATTATGAGGAACCAAATATGCCAGTCAGCACTGAAAATTAATGACAGAATTTTTTGGAAATGGTTAATAATAACTGTTAACATTGTGGGTATATTATTTTACAAATTTTTTGTCTTTGTCTAGGATGTGCTGCCATTGTTGGCCAAAGAATATGGGTTTGAGTATGAGCTTGTGCAGTACAAGTGGCCCAGATGGCTCCACCAGCAGACTGAGAAACAGCGCATCATCTGGGGATACAAGATCCTCTTCCTTGATGTTCTCTTCCCACTTGACATTAAGAAGATCATCTTTGTTGATGCTGACCAGGTATGTATTTATCTGTAAGTAAAGTAAAAGGACACAAGTGCAACTAATGTGACATTTTATTGTGGCAACGTTTCACTCTCCAGGAGTTTTGTCAAGCTGATACAAACAGTATATGGACACAGAGGGTATATAAAAGCTCAGAGTGAGGTGCAATACTAGTGGTAGTAGTAGTAGTAGTGACAAAAGTTGTAGTAGTAGTAGTAGTAGTACAACATGGTAGAGCAATTAATTCGTACATGAGTAAAAGGATATAAAAGCTATTACTTGGGTAACATAAAAATAGGTTGGACAAATATAGACTGGATAGAGAAGGCCTGTTTCAATGTTCACTCTCTGTAATGTGCTTTGTGTAGTATAACAGGAGAGACTATGTGATGGCAGGCTTTACTGTTTTCAGGAGGATTCTTGCTAAGACTTCAGAGATGGTGAAGCTGCCGTTGTTTTGTTTAATTGTATTCGAAACAGCGATCAGTGCTGATTCGAGGCACTTGCATCTGCGGAAATTAGTTTCTTTGATCACTAATTGGGCGTCCCTGAATTTCATGAGATGATTGGTGGAATTTCGGTGTTGTACACAGGCGTTGTTCAAGTTATCGTTCCTACATGCGTAAATGTGTTCATTGAGGCAGGTGTCGAGGTTTCTTGCTGTTTCACCTACACAAATCTTGTCACAGCCTCCACAGGGTATAGTGTAAACCCCTGCATTGACTGGTTCATGGTGCTTTGATTTTGTCCTGGTTAGATCCTTTATTGAAGTGCTAGAAGCGATGGCAACTCTGGTATTAGCTTGTGAAAGTACTTTAGAAACGTTCAGTGCAACCTGGGAGTGGTGTTGGTGCATGGAGAATTAATGATCTGAAGAGCTCTTTTCTTGCAGTCTTTGATGAAAAAGGAAGGAAAATGTAACTCAGTGAAGGTTTGGTGAATGTATGTACATTCCTTGTCAAGAAACTCAGGACTACAAATTCGGTATGCTCTTAGGAAAAACCCGATGATGATGCCTCTTTTGGTCTTGGTATCTTGACTGGAATAGAAGTGTGTGAGATAATTACTACTACTACTACCACTAGTATTGCACCTCACTCTGAGCCTTTATATACCCTCTGTGTCCATATACTGTTTGTATTGGCTTGACACAGCTCCTCGAGAGCGAAACTTTGCCACAATAAAATGTCACATTAGTTGCACTTGTGTCCTTTTACTTTACACATTGTCGGTAATTCTACCAACATTATTACAATGTATTTATCTGCCATGCATAAACCCACATGGATTTCTGTTATATATTTATGTGAATCATGACTTCTAAATTTCAAATCAAGTTTCAGTAGTGCAGTCAGGATTATAGACTAGAAGGGGGTGCTTATGAATCATAAGATGCTGAAAAAATTATAGACATTGTCTTTAAAAATATTTGATTTTCAGTATGCAAAATTTCTTAGACTATTATGCTTTCATGGTCACTTGTCAGTATTAACCAGTACAGTCAAACCTCGGTTGTCGATTGCATTACTCGTCGAATAAATCGGTTTTCAAATGAGGTGTTCGAGAAATAATATCCTGGTTTTCGTATGTTCTCTTGGTTGTCGATGGACAAGTCTTCGCATGTATGGAATGAGACAAGGTGGCTCAGGTCACATGCTCAAGGAAGACAATGTTTTATTGAGTGGGTTCAGGAGGTCTTTCCTCTCACTGTCAAAAAGTACCTCATTAAAAACAATTGCCTCTCATGGCCCTTTTACTTATGGATAATGCTCCTACTCATGCTCCAAGCTTGGAAAACTAGTTGCTGGTGGAGTTCAGTTTTATAACTGTGAAGTTCTTGCCTCTTAATACCACTCCTCTCATCCAGCCCATGGACCAGCAGGTCATTTCTAACTTTAAGAAACTACACCAAAGCACTTTTTGAAAGGTGCTTTGAAGTCAGTTCGGAAACAAATTTAACCCTCAGGGAGTTCTGGAAGGACTACATTTCAGTATCCTCACCTGCTTGAGGCTTATAGACAAAGCCTGGGAACATGTGGTTAGCATGGTCCCCAGGAAGGCTACCATACCTACCACACCTGACTTTTTACAATAAATACCAGGACCATGCAGTCAGCATATAAGAAATTGTGGCCTGACCGTGGCAGCCAGGGATTTTGGAGGCTTTGACAAGGAGCCTGAACCATTAGAGGATTTTGTGTTCCTGGGAAAGACCTTGGGCCTAGAGGTGACTAAAGATGATGTGGAGGAGTTGGTGGAGAAGAATAGAACTGAACTCATCACAGAAGAACATGTAGACCTTCAGAAGGAGCAGCAACAGATTGCAGAGGAGGAGCTGTCATCAGAGGAAGAGGAAGGAAGGGATGATGTGCCCATTGCACTTGTCAAGGAAATGTGTGCTGAATGGTGTGAAGTGCAGGAGTTTGCTGAAAAATACCATCCAGACAAAGCAGTGGCCATCTGTCTCTAACATGTACATGTACAGTCTCAGTTTAGACAAGTGTTAAAACGGAGCATGAAACAAACCTCACCAGACAGTTTTTTTGTGAGACAAAGAACCAGTGAACCAGAACAAGGGGTTAGTGATGAAAAGAGAAACAACATTGGCTCTCCTCAGACAGGTAAGGGGCAGTTAAATTTTCATTTACTTTACAGTATTTCGGTTAGTTTCATTTAGTATTAATTTTTACAGTTTCCCTGTGCTAGATAATTTTATACAGTGGACCCTCAGTTAACACCTGCATCGGATAGCGCCAAAATCAGATAACGCCTTGCTTTGGCGTGAAAAAATTGGCTCGGATAACAACTAAAAACTCGGTTAGGAGCTTTTGTCCCAGCGGCCTGAGCGGGCCCGGCCACTCACTCCATGTACCAGCCAGTGTGCCATTGTTTACAAAGCCAGTGAGGACGATTCCACGTGTACATGCGATATATTTTGTATTATTCCATTGTTTTTGGTGCTTGTAACTGCTAAATAAGCCACCATGGGCCCCAAGAAAGCTTCTAGTGCCAGCCCCATGGTAAAGAATGTGAGAAACACATATAATTTAAGAAAAAGTTTGTAGAAAAATACGAAAATGGTGGTGGTAGAGGGTGGTAGTGATGGTGGTAGTGGTGGTGGTAGAGGGTGGTAGTGATGATGGTAGAGGGTGGTAGTGATGGTAGTAGAGGGTGGTGGTAGTGATGGTGGTAGAGGGTGGTAGCAGTGGTGGTGGTGGTGGTAGAGGGTGGTAGTGATGGTGGAAGAGGGAGGTAGTGATGGTAGTAGAGGGTGGTAGTGATTGTGGTGGTGGTAGAGGGTGGTAGTGATGGTGGTAGAGGGTGGTAGGGATGGTGGTAGAGGGTGGTAGCAATTGTGATGGTGGTAGAGGGTGGTAGCAATTGTGATGGTGGTAGAGGGTGGTAATGATGGTGGTAGAGGATTGGTAGTGATGGTGGTAGAGGGTAGTGGTAGAGGGTGGTAGCAATGGTGGTAGAGGGTGGTAGCAATGGTGGTAGAGGGTGGTAGTGGTTGTGATGGTGGTATGGTATGATAAGGCATGGTGAGGCTGCCAGTTCTAACAAAAAAGTGGGTGAAAAATATGTGCAGGACTTTAAGGGGTACATAGAGTCTGAAAAATTAAAACCCCAACAAGTGTTCAGTTGTGACAAAACAAGTCTGTTTAGGAAGAAAATGCCAAACAGGACCTACATTACTCAGGAGGAAAAGGCACTTCCAGGACACAAGCCAGAAAAGGACTTGTTACCTGCAGTCTTTATGGAACACCTTCATCCTCTTCCCTCCTCCCATCTCATCACTCATCAACAAGTCCACAATAAAGGTAAGTGTGATGTTGTTATTGTTTTATTTGTCATGTGTCATTGTTTTCTGTGTGGGGAAATGTATATTTCATGTAAAAAAATTATTTTGTTTAATACTTTTGGGCATCTGAAACAGATTAATTGAATTTCCATTATTTCTTATGGGGAAAATTAATTCAGTTAAAGGCTAAATTGGTTAAAGGTTAGCTCTCTGGAATGGATTAAAGGCATTAACCGAGGGTCCACTGTACATTGTTTTATGTAGTAATTAGTACATTATCAGTATGTTATTATATTGTCTTTTGGGGTCTGGAATGGATTAATGCTATTTACATTATTCTTTATAGGAAAAATTGCTTTGGTTGTCGTCGATTTTGGTTGTCGAATCGACATCTGGAATTAATTAAATTTGAAGACTGAGATTCCACTGTACAGTGGACCCCCGGTTTTTGTCTGGTGCGGAAATCGTCCGTATCAGACGCATCCACCCGCCCGGGACGCCACTTCTCATGCTTACCAGACTCAGTGTGCCTGTCTCTTGTTGAGTTAGCAATACTTTACGTGTTCATCCATTGTTTATTGTGCTTGTTTATTGATTGCAATTGTGAAGTAAGCCAATATGGGGTCAAAGAAGCTGAGAAACACAATAAAATTCAAGAAAGAACTTGTGGCAAAATATGAAAGTGGCGTACGTGTGGCCGAGCGATGTATAGGAAGTCGACATCAACAATCAGTTCCATCCTGGCGAAGAAAGCAGAAATCAAGGAAGCTGATGTTGCGAAAGGGGTAAATATGCTAACAAAACAGAGATCACAAAGAATCGAGGATGTGGAGAAGTTGTTGTTGGCATGGATCAACGAAAAACAGTTAGTGGGAGATAATGTTGTGGAGGGGATAATTTGTGAAAAAGCAAGGCACGAAAATGCCTGGAACAAGTGCTGACATCTACAGTTGTCTCACCCTCCACTAACACAGTCCCAGTGGCAGAACCTGAGGACAAATCTGCAAAACACAGGAGGTGCAACAAATCATAGTACACCCTCCCAGGCACCTAGGCTGCGCTCTCGCTGTCACCGGAAGGGGCACACCACCAACAACTGCCTGCGAGATACCAGGTGCAATTACTGCTACAAGAAAGGACATCAGGAGGACCAGTGTCGGAAGAAAAAGGAATTTGACAGACAGGACCACCTGTTTAGAGACCTGTTCTCAGA